TTGTACACAAACTGCTCCTCCTACCTCTGCAACCAGTGAGAAGGCTGATCCTCAGCAAAAGGCTGGAGCTACCACATGTAAATGACAGTAAAAGCCTTAGCCTTTGCTGGAAAAGGTTCCTCCAGTACAATAGAGGGGATTGTGCACGAGGAAAAATGAGATACTAGTGCAGAGAATCCTTCAAAGCATGTTGAACTAGAAATGCCTCAGCTACCCTGAGACTTGAGCCCAGTACCCCCCACGGGCATTGCCACGGGGCCTTACTGTACAAGTGAGGTGGGTGTGATGTCACAGCCAGATGGTGCTGGAGCACACAGGGCTCACAGATACTTTTCTGTTCTAACTTAATATTAACTTGGTTTAATCTAAAAGAAATAGAGTCAAAACAACAGAAGCAGTAGTACTTACGCATCCTTCAGGTTCATAAAGAAAAGCCAGTGTCTTATATTCCTCTTTCAGACTGCTCTCCACAGAAGGCAGTTGGTCTGTGCTGTGTACTGATTTCACTCCTTTTGAACACCGTTCAAAAAGCAGTGCTGCTGAAATCAACCCCCCAAAATAGCAGTTTTTATGTGAACGCTCACTCTTAAATGCTTTCCAAGCTTATTAGTGAAGAATTAATCCACATGTGTGAGCTCGTAGAGAGCACAGGTTGTGCTCATCAGCACAAAGAGCAGAGTAAGAGGAGCAGTAAATAAACCCAACACAGGCTGTGGCAGAGAAAAGCTGTCCTGCTTGCAGTTGAGTTGATTGCAAAGCTCCTAACAAGAGGCATTGCTGCACCCTGTGTCAGTAAATAAAATTCTAAGCAATGATCTTACTTTTCCTACGCTTTCCTATGCAGCTTCCTAAAGAAAAGGAATTCCCAGTGTACTTTTTATATAGGCTACCCCTTACTGGGAAGGTAAGAAAATTCCTTGCCGTCAGGCTCTATGCTGTAGCTCCCATCATATTCTAGTACGATAAAAAAGAGAAAAGCCTTACATAATAGTCTTCATTCAAGACACTGAAATCTGCAGCACCAAATCCATTTTACTCACTTTCAGTCACATAAAGGTAAAACCTTTTCCCCCAGAAGGAAACCAAAGACAGTAGAAAAAGGCAGTGTTTTCCACCGGCCCTTTTAACAAATGAAACATTTACTTTCTGTTTGGTGTAAAGTGACAGCTGGCTTATTAGAGCTGACACTGATCCTCCCAAGAGGATTTCAGCGAGCAAGTCACACAGGTGAAGGTCAAAGAAGCAAAGGAATTAAATGAAGAGAGGAAGCAAGCAGCTTTCCCTTAAGGACAGAAATCAGCGAACAGAAATTTGTTACTTACATGGCCCTTGCTGATTGGAAATAGAGCACCTGCAAAATGTAAAAATATTTCCAGGCCACTTTCTGAATTTCAGTTTGTTTTAGACCTGGCTCCCTTCTGGCCATTATCTCCCACCTGCAGGAAGGATGCTGTGGGTGCATGGTTTTGTGCCATGTATCTGCCTGACTTACACAGCGTCAAAGACAACTCATGTAATATTCATGTTGAGGCATCATGCATCACTTTTTACTTACATGGGGAGGAGAGTTAACAAGGGATGACCCTTTACTTTTTAAAGTAAACAATAAGAAAAACTCAGCCTTGCACTCAAAAGTTTTAACTCTCCCTATACGTGACTAACTGAAGAGAGATGAACGCTTGCTCTTCAAACCACTCCTAACGGTTCTGAGATGCTTTAGCCAAACTATCACTTTTTGGTTTGGCAGCACCACTTTGCTATGCTAATAAGACCAATACAGGAATACCGGGGTCAAAGGTAAGCTCAGAAATATGCACATAGCAAAGATGAGATCTGAGAAGTTTGGCTTAGCCATGAAGTTTTGCAGAGTCCCAGATCTTCTCATATTTCCTACTTCAGTTTCAATCGTAACACTCTGGATAACATCCCGAGCTTCAGCACAACTCCATGTAGGACTCCAAGGAACAGGTAGGTGTAATCAAACACATGACTTGCCTCTGAACAATTTTTATGAAATCCTGGAGAGAAAAGATAATTGCATGCTATTCTTACTTACTGCAGAGCACCTATTCAAGTAAACACACAGAGATATAAACGAATGAATAACTGGCTCTGGCTCTAATCTCTTTTAAAGGTCACAAGCCTACAAAAAGGTTTTCAATGCATTTTCAAGTATTAGCTTACCTTAAACCTGCAGGTTTCCCTCTCTATGCCAGGTACACAGCACAAGGTGCTTTTCCTTCCTGCTTAACATGCAGAAGCTCAGGCCTTCCTGTGGCTTTTTGTTGTTGTTATGGTTTTGGTTTTTCTGGGCTCTGACATCTGTAGAGTGGCACTTTTCAGCAGCCCATCTACATCCTCCTCTCCCACCCCATCAGCCTTGCCAGATTTAGACAAAGCATCCAGAAAATACAAGGTAGAACAGCGGGGAAACAGCTGAACATTTGACTTGCAGCTTCAGTTTGGAAGTCCAATTAACCAAAGTTATGATTAATCACTGCTTGGAGGTGAAGGAGGAAGGGAGAGGTGCAGAAGAAATCTTTCTGAAGGGATAAGGACTACAGCATCTAAGCTCAGCTGAACTTATTCCACTGTATGTTTTCCTTAATGCCTAACAGTTCAGTCAGTCAGGTGCTCCTGTGCCAAAGCAATCTAGCTTTTATCTGATGATCTATGTATAATTCAAAGACAGCCTTTCAGAAATCACAAAGAGAGAACAGATACTCACCAGACACATTTCCTTTTAGATAGCAGTCCCACCTAGTATGCTGTCAGAGACCCCTATGCAGGACTACACAAGCTGCTCTACAGCACAAGGCATTTCCAAATGGACCAGTGCCACCCGTTCTATAGCCCATTAAGACCAAATTGCCACATGTGGAGATGACTGAAGAGTGAAGAATGGAGTTAATTAGGGCAGGTACACAGGAGGCAAAAGAAAGTTGGCACACAGCTGCTCACACTACTCTAGCTGATTACACTTGTACTAAACCTTGACTTTCTAGAACACATTTGCTTCCTGAGCTCAAGAAAAATATGTGTTTTCTCCTGAGTTCGTTAGGTCAGTATGAAGACTTGTATGCAGAACCAGAAATGACTTTTCTGTGGCAGTACAATCCTTTAAGGGCCTCCCCAGCAATTTTGTTCAAGCCCATTGTATTTTCCCTTTCATCACCATACCTTTCAGTCAGAAATGACGTTATGTATTCAGCACACAAAAAATTAACCATGTGAATGGGGAAAAAAAAATAAATCAGCACGTGAAGTGACAGTTGCAACGAGAGCAGAGAGCTCTCACTAGCTTCTGGGGAAAAAAATTGTAGCCCAAAAGTTGATTGCTAATAAATACTAATATTCTTCATTAGACATTGCATGTCTTAACCCCATTTCCTTCAGTGTTTTATTATGCATTTTACCTTGTATACGTGAACAGAGATTTAAAGTGACCTCAAAGACAACACGAGTGTATAAAAGAAAAAAAATAAAAATTATTTCACTTTTGCCAAAGAAGAGAAAAAAAAGCTAGTGAGAATATTAAAGCATTCAAAATTTATAATGTTCTTCATCCCGTTAAATATTCTCCCTAGATACAATCACACTGGCCTTCCAAATCCATAAAATATGCCATTTTTGTCGCCCCCTACACGTGCAGCACAATTTCAACTCCAACACTTGCATAGGTTTCTTGGTAGAATTTCAGAAAAAAACTTAAAAACAAAGTCAAAAAGGACTGGAATATTGCAACATGAACTGCAAGGATGTTTCCTGTGAATATTGTACTGCTATGTCAAACATTTCCAGTGGGACTCATCTTACAATTTAACCATACGACGCATCTTCAGAATATATTACCCCAGATATGGCTATTGATACCCACTGTATTTATATCATGAAAAATAAAGTCTATCTTACTCAAGCACGTGTCAGATTTGGCTTGAAACCACATGCTTCATTTAGTTAAAGAGCCAGAGGAAAGAAAAAGCAGCACAAAAATATCTTCATGAAAACGGACCTATTTTAGGAGGAGCCTGGTACAACTGCCTTACAGCCCCAGCACGCTTCCACACCTCACCTGGATGTCAACCACTTTAAACAAAAAGCACAGATATAAAGTTACAGCTTTCTTCAGGCAGTGTGTAGAAACTGCCACATGTACAACAGGGAAAAAGCATCCATCCCAGTAACAGCTTTTCCTTTCCAAGAGGAAATATTTGCATCAGTATAAGCAAATTTCAGAAATACAGAAATAAGTGCCTATGCTTGAGTTACGTTCGCTTCCCACCGAACTTCAGAGACAGGACAGCTTACATATGGTGAAGATAGGCTTCCAAATAAAATAGAGATACACAGAAACACAAGCCTCAAACAGCTGAAAGAAGCATTCTGAAAAAGCATGTTGCTATTTACACACTCACCTCCTTTTTTACATTCAGAACACACAAAAATTCTAGTTTCAAAATGCATTGTCAGGAAAAAAAGTTTCTCAGCTGCCCAAACTGCATTAACACTCTCAGTGCCAGCGCAGAGTGTCAGTACAGATCTAATCTCACAGACAGCTTGGAGGCTACAAACACATATTGTCACCTGACAGTAATTAGTATTGTTCTCATTTTCCTTCTGCATGTACCAACAAATATGCTTTTTCTGCTTTTTCAGCTGAAGCAGCCAATTACCTTCTGTGCTTTGCAAGCTCCCGTCCGCACTCCCCAGGAAACGGATAATGTGCTGTGCAGCACAGTGGGGAGAGCTCGCTCGGATGCAAAATAATTCAGAACTTACTCATGTAAAGTCTCCCCGCTGCATTCACAGGCTGAGCTGTGTGTTAAACGCGTTTATTCACCACCGAAAGACCATACTTTGCAGTTATAACCCTGGCAAATACTGTGCATTTAAATAATTCTTATACTCAGCCACACAAAGGGGTTTTATTTCTCTACCACAGCTGTACACAGAAGAACAGAGTGCCATTTCAAAACAAAACTCCTGAAGTTACTACTTACCAGTTTGTGATTACGTATGCAGTAAGCCCAAAGAGCTGAAGAGATTTTGTTGCAGGAGACAAAAGTTATCAAAAAAAAAAAACCCAAAAAAACCAAACAGGCAAAGTGAACAAGAATGAAGGGAAACTCACATAAATGCTCTCTTCATTCATCTACTTAAGTGTTCCCAAAGACTAAAAGGGACCTTAAAGAAAGCGCTCTCAGCAAAGACTACATCCTCTTGTCAGTCAAACCCTGCATAGTTTCAGCTAGGCATCTGTCCAAAAAGACATGGAATTCTTCTATTTCTGTCTCCCAGTGCAAGTGGAAACATTTCTACAGATCTGTGGTAAGGATTTCAATTTTTGTAGTGGTAAGCTGCAAGAGGAATTTAATTAAAGACTCTGTTAAGCAGAAAACTGTCCACGAGAGAGGAACTGGAAAATTTGGAGATAAATAACAATTGCATTACATTACAGTCTGGTACAGAAGCACAATAAAAACTTCCAGTGAGGTTAAAAATCCAGATGTGGTTTACTGGAAGAAAGCTGTGAAAAACTGCTTTCATTAGCACTGTTGTCAGGAGCAGTGAAATAACAACAGATTTGTGGTTAAACACACAGGCTTGCCTTTTTTTAATGAAACAGTTTGAGTTTTAAAAAGTTAATGATTTTACATAGGAAGCTAAACATTTGTTTTACCATCCGTGCTATGCCTGACGTGTTACTCTTTTTATTCAACACAGGTGTTTCCTTAGATGTACTTTGCATCTTGCCCGTTGCTGACAAAACAAACCCTATAAGCCTCTGATTCTCTAAAGTATGGAAGGACCTTGGAAATGATGTTTCCCTCTCTCGCGTTTCATTTTTTCTCTTATGATATCAATAAGAAAGTATGGCTGTTTCCTGTGTACATTCCGACTGGAAGCTGACACAGAAACAGCACACAATTTTACTGACCCCTTCGGCTCCCCAGATGAAATCTTTCTCACAAAGAGAAGCAGCTGCATCCATTTGATAGCCTAGAACTTTTGTCCCTGCTGCTTCTCCTCTCTGCACTCAGGTTCCTCACTCATTGCTCCTTTTGCCTTTGCTTTTTATTCTGCCCCCATCAATGTCTCTTTGATGTCTTTCACTTGCTGTCCTATTGCAGTACATACTGACACCTCTTTTTAGTCCTCCCCGTAGCTCTAAGTCCCTGTCTCCTGTTCCTGCTTACCAGGTCAATGCTCTGTCCCTCTGGTTGGTCTTAGGGCTCTCCCAGCCACTGCTGACTGCCAGTCTATCTCCCACACTACTTTCTGGATGTAGAAAGCTCTGAGTCAGCCCATAAAGTAAGTTGGCCCTGCTAGCCACCATTCTTCAGCTCAAAACCTTCATTCGGTTGCACTGGAAGATATTAGCTAACCGTAACAGTGAATCTGAGAGTTGTGAGGAACAAACAGTGCCTTTCTAATGGAGAAGAAAAGAGGCACTCCCTGTCCCCCTGTTCCCCTGTTCTCCTTACTGACACGTTGCTTTTTGGCTCTGATGTTTCAAGTTTCTTTACAGTGCGAGTGGCCTTGAGACAGAAAATCTTTCACACTGCGTTCTGTAACAGTCTCTGGCATAACAGGATCCAGTCTTTTCACACTGCTGGGCATTATGGCGAAGCAAGTGAGAAATAAGCTGTTTCTTGAACATCTTGCTACTTATTATCTCCTTTAAATCACAGCTCTTGCAAGATGTAGCTGTGACTGAATTAAGTGATACGTTTTAATTCTGGGGATTAAATAGAGAAAGAAATTCTGTGTAGATGGGGGAATGCTGTAATCCTGCAGTGCACTGCCAGCAAAGTTTATCTGTTAGGCACAAATTCTTTACTCAGAAGCACTGGCACAGCAGCCCAGAGAAGCTGTGAATGCCTCATGGCTGGAGGCACTCCAGGCCAGGGTGGATGGGGCTTCGGGCAGCCTGATCTAGTTGGTGTTAACCCTGCCTACAGCAAGGGTTGGAACTGGGTGGGTTTAAGGTCCCCTCCAACATAAGCCATTAGCGATTCTATGATTCTCTGATCCCACCCCTTAGTTCTTTTGGTTGCTGACAGTGGGCCAAGCTAATTCCACTCAAGTGAATTTCCATGCCTTCTCCCTGCAGCACACAATCCAAAACAGACAACAGGCACTGGTGCATATCATTGTTAAACTCCACTTCCAAAACCTAATATTGAATATAACTTCCCATTTTTCTGATATTTAAGTTTAGGAAAAGTCATGTCTTTGCACATACAGCATTATTAATGTCCAATTAGCACCACATTTCATCCTGGCAGCTATGAGCCACCATTACACCAGTATGACATTCTCTTTTGAAACAGAGATGCTTTATGGTACATATTGCTTTACTGTCTTGTTCCAAAATTGCCTGATCTCCAAAATCCATCCATTTCAAGGAGTTCCTGAGAGGCAAAAAGCTCTGGATTAAGATTACTGTTCCATTATTGGCCAGAGCATTAATTTCCTTCCAGTGATACCAGGCTACTTGTCATTTCTGACAACACATTTAATTGCCATTGCAGCCCTCACAGCTTTTTCATAGGTGCTGTCAAGATTATTTTAATTAAAATAATATCTATACAGAGGTTAATGAAAGCTGGGGAAAAACTGCACCAGGAGCATGTCATCCACTGTTTCCCATTAGTGGGTTTGTGAAAAACCAAATTTCTCCAGACCCCATGACTTGCAGAGACCAATTGAGATGGGAAAAATGCCCATGAGCAGCTTCCATGGCACAACAGCTCCAGCCCAGCCACTTCACCCTTTAGTGCCCTTTCCACAGGGTAACCATCAGCCAAAGTCCCTGCTGTTCAGCCCATTCCCGTTGTTCTCCTTAGAACTACTAGTGATACTGGTGATATAAAAAACTACTCATTATGTCAAATGCTACCTTGATACCACTACAGACATGACCTGGGGTCACCTGCACTTTATCAAAGATAAGAAGATTTAGTGCTTGGAAGTGCGTTTCTTCTTATTCGTTTTTAAACATGCTAAATGATTCCACATGTGGGAATTCAATGCTTCCAACAGTAAATGCTGGCAGACAGACACACACCCACTACCTTTTTTATTCTAAACTTTGAAGCAGACTGGTCTTTGCTTTAAATAAATTCTGTGTATAATTAGACAAATCAATATCCATCGCACGATGTTTTACTTTTTACAGTTAGCAGCCCTCACTTTGTACTAAACTGTATCTTTGTGAACTAGTAATCTAGGAAATTACAGGGTTTCAGTCAAGCCAGCTCATTTTGTTTCTGTGCATGGTTACAGACCTCAGACTTTGCAGGCTATTTCAGCAGTTTCTTCCTCCATTTTCAAGACTATTTACTCATTGTGTGGGTATCTTTCTTTGCGTCAATGACAACGGGCACATAAGTCACTCTTCCCTCAATTGGGCTGGCATGCACGAGGATGAATGCAATGCAGCAATGTGCCACTTGGCTGTGAGCTCAGGCTCTGCTTCTTGCTCAGCTCTTTGTTTCTTTCTGTGTGCTCACTTTCAATTCCACAATCAAATCACCACTACAAGCTGTTTTTATTTGGAAAAAGTGGCCAGTTTCTGAGAAGACTCACCTCTGTGCCATGAATGCCACTCCCACTGAAGAGAACCTGCAAAGTGCAAACTGTATGAGCAGCAGAACTAACAGAGCTCATTTTTCCTCTAGATTTAACAGTCTCGCTCCACTAGATGTGATTCTGATAAAACTTACAGGAACTCAGTGTCCATGAAATACCCCAATTTTGTAATCTTTCCTATTCACATAGCTGTTGAATAAGTCTTACTCCCAACTGTGAAGTGAATATCCCTATAACAGGCTATAAGTGATAAAACTCATATTCCATTCTGGAAGGCAGAGCTCTGAATGTTGCAACGTAACACAATATTGCAGATTGAAACTTCCTACAGCTTGCTCCTGTGTTACATACTGCCCGTGTAAAGGAACATGCTGTTGGTAATGATCTGTGTACTGGCACAAAATTCAAACTGGAAGAAATCCTGCATGAGGTCAATATTTCTCCTCATCAAGGGGAGACACAAAACTGAGGGGTTGCTGCCAATAAGGAAAACCTATTAACAGTCAAAGAGAGATCTCCATGGACAGTTTTGCTATCTGACCAGTGCATCTAAACAAATCGTATTCCCCATCCTATCTGAGAGTGTGAGAGTCGTTCTGTTTGCTACACATTTGCAATTCTTCTGGTGGGTATTCTCTTAAGCGTGAAACTGCCAAACAGAAATCAGCCTTGAAAAGGAAAATACAGAGCAAGTTAGAAAATCAAAACCATGGGAACCAACTAATACATACAACTTCACTGCAGCTGTAATTTTATGAGAGAGAGGTGGGGGATTCTTGCTATTTCTTGCTCAATTTCCATCTGAGCTTTTTCTGGGAAAGGCACAGCATTGTAGCTCTCTGACAGACTCAAATTTGCTCACGCCTTTCTGTGACTGTGATGATGCCTCAAAGCCTTTTCTATTAGTCTGTCCCATTATAAACCTTCTTTAGCTCATAACAGCTCAAATGCTTTCTGCTGTATGGATAAAGGAGCTCTTCACTCCTCACACACTGCAGTAATTCTGATTACTGGGAGGATATTTGAAATGCGATATTGTGAGGAGAGGTGTAATTATGTCTGAATTTGAATGGAACTATTCTAAGAGGCTTTGCAAAAGCAGAATTTCATGCCTGCTAGAGGCCTTGAGGTCAAGCAGTTCATTGGGAAATAATCAGGACCTGAAAAATGGTCTAGTTGTTTTTTGGATGCATTGCAAATTCCACTACCTTCCTTAGAATACAGTATTAATTGTGCTCATTGTAAGCACTCAGACTGGTCAGCATGCACTGGCATCTGCACCAGCACTCCTTAGCCCTGCTAATGGTACCATCACATTGTTTTTTCCTGTCTACCGGATGTGGTTGCATCCTGCAACTGCATTCACACAGCAAAAAAAAATTATTTTCTGCTGTGCTTCAATTTCTTTTTTTCCCTCTCTCTCTGATTTCATCCTTAAGTTCAAAATAAAAAGCAAAACTTCTGTTCACATCAGGGCACATTCCTTGTTTCATCCAATGCATAGCCAGAACTGGCCTCCCTAAAACTTGAAAAGATGAAGAAGTAGAATAATCTTCCTCCTTTTAATTTAAAGTTTGGATCTGAGTCCATTCTGGATTATTTCTTCCCATTTTATGCTTGATATATTCTCATCTACACGTTGTGCCCATACAGCAATGGAGCTGTTGACAGTGCCTGAGATAAAGCACACAGGAAAGTCCCTACATGTCTGAAGCATTGGCTTGCTCATCTCCTAACAAGAAAACAAAGAAAAAT